TATGGTTATCACAGCCCCTGTCAATACTGAAGAGCTGTAACTTGATTACCTATATCTAAAACAGTTGCCTCAAGAGTACTGACTTGTACTTCTAGTTTTAAACTGATAGGGCCAGGGAGATAGCTCAGTGGAATAAGTGTTTGTCTGGCAAGCAAAAAGGTCCCGAGTTCAATCCCTGGTACCACCAAAATAAATAAATAAATAAAATAATAAACTAGTATCGTCTTGGGTCTCTAAAGTTTATGTTTTTTGCAAGTATAATTAAATGATCAATATTTTTGAGGAATAAGAGCATCAGAGTGGCCACCCAGAGGTTGGGATTGATTACTAAAAACAGGTATGAAAGCAGGAGCTTCCCCACATGAGTGAACCAGGGGGGACCAGGAAAGACTGTCCAATAGGGGACAGCATGCGAAGCTTCAAAAAGACAGGGATAAGCTCCTGTTTTCTTGGCCGTGCTTATTCCTGTCTTCTTGCAGCAGGAATAAGCATGGCCAAGAAAACAGGAGAGTTGTTCGTACTTTCACTCTTGGTTACCATCTCTTGGGCACGCTGGGTCAGTTTCTTTCACTGGCTCCAGGATGGGTACGACCCCATCTTAGTCTGTAGGCTGTGGCGAGGTCTCCAAGGCATCACTGCCGCAGGACTGAGGATCAGCTTCTTACAAGGCAGAAATGACTCCCTTTCTGGGTCTAGGTCCATGATACAGCCAGATATCATGCTCTGGAAAGCATACCTGTGGGCCCATGTGATTACTGGCCTATGTCCCTTCTATTGTCTAGTATGATCTTTCCAAAGGACCATTCCTAGTTCTTTTTTTTTTAACCTAATTGAATTGTCTGTCTGCTGTTACAGTCTCATCCTGAGTAGGATTTAAAAGTTAATTGCAGGGCCAGGGATATAGCTCAGTGGCATAAGCGCCTGCCTGGCAAACGCAAGACCCTGAATCTGATCCCTGGTACCAAAAAAGAAAAAAGAGTTAATCGCATGTAGTGCCAAGTCAAGTCAATTATGGTGAATTTATAGGGAAGTATATACTAAAAAGTCTTTGTGGTTTATCTGACATTCACATTTCACCACGCATCGCATTTTATCTGGCATCTCAGTTGAAGAATGCCAAGTACTGAGGTGAACGGGACACAGCTCAAGCAGCAGTCTCCTGCTGGTGATTCTGCAGCCCCGAGGTTTTATTCTTTATAGAGTGGAGAGTCAGTTGGCGACGTTTTGGGAATTTCTGGTTTCATTTAAACGTAAGAAGCTTTGGCTATGTGGTAGTAGCTGCCCTGTAGTAAAATGTAATGGGACAGAAGATCACTTGGACAAGTAAACACTGCATTCTGACTTGTTGGACCAGAAGGATTGTGGGTAAATTCATTTGAGAGCTGTTGCTTGCATGAGTCTGGAGTCAGTCAGCAGCCCATGCTTAAGGCCTTGGGACACCCCACCCCCACCTCACCCCACCCCACCCACCCCAGCCTTGCCCAAGACTTCACTGTTGCAGTCCACTCTAGTCATGCTGACTGCAGAGTCTGAAAACTTACCCATTTGCCAGGCTCTGGCCAAAGGGCTTTCCCCCTTTCCAAGGCCAGGATGGAAGCTTCTAGTCACATGAAGAAATGTGTGTCCACAGTGCCCCCTGCAGACAGAGGCTGGAGCTACACGTGTGGGAGAGACCCTGCTTTGTCTTTCCTGGCACACAATTAGGAAAGCAGCAGGAAAAATGTAGGGAATCAAGAAGGTTGAAAGACACTGAAAATAGTAAGTGTGAGAAGTTTCATCCAGAATTCTAAATGTTCCTTTGGTCCTTAAACTATTCCCATAAATTAATGTATTCAGTACCTAAAATTATTGAAAATAAGGACTCAAACAGATCCTTGTAATGTAGTGATATTGCAGTGACAATGTTCATTGCAGCACTACCAACAACCAAAAGATGGAACCTACTGAATGCCCATTAACAGATGAATAAATAAAAAGTGATACATACAATGTAAAATTCAGCCACATAAAATTCTTATATATGCTACAGCACGGGTGAGCCTTTAAAATGTTGTTAGCCTCACTTACAAAGTAAGCTACTGAGCCTTATTTTTCAGATAAGAGACCTGGAAGGCCTTGAGCTACTTACTCAAAACCAGATAGCCAAGAAATGGCAAAGCCAAGATTCTAAGCCAAGAACATTATTTCCATGGTGTATGACCCCAAGCAAGAGGCTAGACTCCCCCAGGCAGCAGTGTTCCAATGTATAAACTTTCACAATAATGAACAGGGTTATGGTTTGAATCAAAAGGTCCCCATTAGGCTCCCATACAGCATTAGAGGCTTGGTTTCTAAAGCAACTGTTGGAGATGGGGCTTTCAGAATTCGTTGGATCAGGATGGTTCTCCCGTGGATGGGACCATAGCTGGATGGCACTAGTGGACAATGTTAGAAATTGAGGACATGAAGTCACAATTGGAGGAAATAGGTCACAGGCCACATAGTTTAGCTTAGTGTAGGAGCACATACCCACAATCCCAGATGTAAGAAGACTGCAAGTTCTTGCCCAGCTTGGGCAACTTTGCTCAGAACTTAAAAAAGGGATGATGGGGGGGGGGGTCACACTAAGGGCTAGAGACACAGCCGAGTGGCATAAGCACCTGCCTGGCAAGTGCAAGGTACCAAGTTCAATCCCCAGTACCACAAGAGTGAAGGGATGGGGATATTGCCGAGTGTGAAACTTTATACCCTTTTGGGCTTGTGTGCATGCACACTGGAGATTGAACCCAGTCTTCACACTGAGCAATACCCCCCAGTTCCTTATTTATTTTGAAACATGGCCTTGCTGTTTCTGAAACCACAAGCTGAGGTTAAGTTGGGCGCCCATTCATTAGAATACTTAATGATATCGGTACACCGCATTCAATATATTGTTTCCCCAACAGACTCACTCCTGTCTGACAGTGGCAGATGGGTTCCTTCACTAGTTGTGTCCCTACTACACACCAGGCCCCAGGCTAAGCACTTCACAAATTCAATTTTATTGAATCTCACACTTGATGTAGGTATCATTATGAAACCCGCTTGACAGCAAGGAAACCCAGGATAATGGAGGTGCAGGAATTTGCCCCAAGATCCCTCAGCTAAGAAGACAAGGAAGTAGGATGGGACTAAAGCATCCAGCTTGGTGGGACTGTGCTGAGCTGAAGCCGGGGAGACAGGTTGCAAAGCCTATGAGACCTGGACTTCATTCACCCTTGTCCCAGAGCTGAAGGAAGCCAAGCTGGCAAACCAAGGAATTCTGGTGGCTGCAAACTCTCCAGGGTTTTTACTCCCAGCTGGAAAGGATGGGCTACCTCTGCTGTTGGTGACCTCTCAACAGTAAAGTCCAACTGGGCACGTAATCCCAGCACTTGGGAGGCTGAGGCAGGATTGCTGGGGTTCAAGGCCAGACTGGGCTACAAAGTGAGTTGAAGGTTAGCCTGAACTACATAGTAAGACTCTGTGTATCATAGAAAAACAAACGGGGGGAGAAAAAAAAACAAAAAAACCACCAAACAGCAAAGTCTATGAACCAGTCAGCTATGCAGCTACTCATTTATAAGGATTTTTTTTTTTTGCTCCAAATGCACTCAGGGGTGGTTTACCTGGCCGGACTGTTGTGGGGATCAAACTACAGCACCCTGAGGCTGAAAGCTTTGCCAGAACTGAGCTAAGGCCAGACCCCTTTTAAAGGGGGGGTCGTTCTTTCATAGGCCGCTGGGTATTTTTTTTTTTTTTTTGGCGGAACTGGGGATTGAACTCAGGCCCTTGCGCTTGCCAGGAAAGCACTTATTCCAGTGAGCCATCTCCCCGGCCCCTACAGCTACTCATTTATAAATCTGTAATCCCTGCACAATGGGAAGCCGAGGCAGGAGGTTCCCACGTTTGAGCCCAACCAGGGTAATTCTGCAATTTAGCAATATCACGATTCTAACATTAAGGGATTGAAAAGTTGCTCAGCCTGCAGATCCTGGGTTCAATCTTTTCAATCTGCACTACAAACACAAAAGGATATAAACCTTAAGGTAGAAACTGGCTTCCTGTACACTTTAGAATTCATGTAAGCAGTGTGTTGCTATTAAGGTAAGGGTCAGTTTCTGCCCAGCCATTCTGGCTGTGTAACCTTAGACAAGTTTTGCTGTACTGATCCTCAACTCAAATGTGAGCCTTGGAGCTGGGGAGATGGCTCAGTAGAGTAAGTGCTTCCCTGGCAAGCACAAGGGCCTGAGTTCAATCCCTGGTTCTGCCAAAAAGGAAAAAAAAAAAAAAAAAAAAAAAAGTGAGCTTAACACTATCTACCTTAGGGTCACCGGAAACAAAAAGATTAGCATTGTTCCGTTAAAGAACACAAAGATTCAATTTTTATTATGGGCTGGGGAGATGGGTCAGCAGTTTAAGTACTTGCCCAGCAATGCAAGGACACAAGTTTGATCCCCGATACTGCATGCTACGTTGGCCATGGAACTCTGGGCACACATGCCCAACTGGCTTAATGTACATTAGATGCACTTTATTTTTTTTTTAATTTTTTATTTATTTATTTTTATTTTTTTTGGCGGAACCAGGGATTGAATTTAGGCTCTTGTGCTTGCCAGGGAAGCACTTATTCCACTGAGCCATCTCCTCGGCCCTAGATGCACTTTAAAGAGACTTCAGCATCATCAGATTCTGGCATCCACTTTTGGTTTCAAAACTGCTACAACAGGATACCTGGTTACTATCAGTGAACCAAAGGTAGTCCAGGCAAGCAGTTCAGAACCTTGTTACCTGATCTCTAAACCTCAAGGAGAAGGGGTAAGGGCATGAATACCAAGAGCCATTTTACATAGTTATCACTTGAGTCAGGGGCAATGGGCAAGCCCAACCTTAGCTATCATCATTCTTTATTGCTCATTCTTACACAATGCCCCCAATAAACCTGGATGCACACAAGTGAATCACACAAGTCAACTGGCACATCAAATACAACAGCATTTTGATTTCAAGAATTTTATTTTCTTTTCCCAGGTAGGAAAGCTGTTACAAATTGGAATCACCCGCCTGGCAAGCAAGTGCGGGGTCCCTAGTTCAACTCCCAGTACCAAAACAAAACAAAAAACACCTGCTGCCTGGCTCAGGAACACACAGCTGATGTCAGGTCTTTGTACTCCCCACTCCATAGGCAAGAAACTTCTAAACAAAGAACAAAATGTCAAGGATAAGGCAACATCTAGTGAAACAACTAGGCATCTAGTGAAAACGTGGACTACTCCACACGTCCTTTGGTCCACCCACTAGGCCAGTGGTGGCTAAAAACCCAAAGCCTCAAGTATTTAGATTTAACTAGTGTTGGCACTTAAGGCGCCATCACCATCGCGGCCAACAGGCTGCAAACTGGGATACTTCCAGAGACAACCACTCTCTTGCAGCAAAAACATTTCACCCTAAACCTAGAAGTAAGCCTTTCCAAGTTATGGAGAACATGGCTAAAACTAAACCCAGATTGCAGACCCCATGTTCATCTTTAAAAAGGGTGGGAGGCATTTATGTTGCCATTTAGGATCAAAACCTAAATATAATTGCAATACAGATAGATTTTCAGTTGTTAATAGCTTTATGGGAGAACAGCCTCTAGAAATAGCCAAGACTCCCATTTTAAACCCAACTTCAGCCTGAGTCTTTGTGGGCAAATCTCTTCTACAGGTTTGCACACCAAAACCTTACCTGTTACAGGCACGAACCAAAGATCAGGTTGTGATGACCTGTAGAAAGTTAACAGATGGGGCCTAAGTAACATGAATGAATGCTGGGGGAAAAAAGTTCTCTCTCAAGCTGATGCATCAGACTAAACTGGCTAATGGTTATTTAGATCAACAGGGTCGATCTGATGGGGAAAAAAGTTAGGTCATCAACTGCATCAGCTGAATTTGCACCAAAGATTATCAGGATGAGACAAGACAGCTACATCCTCTGAGGAAGACATGAGAACATAACTTACCAACCCTTTCCCATGCCCACAATTCATCTTGCTCCATTCAGAGGCTGGTTTAGGCCATCAGCAAACCTGAGATGAAATCACAGTTGGATCAGCACTGACCAGCTAGTCAGATGGCCACAGAAGGGGACAGTTACTGCCCAAGCTGGCATATCAGACAGAAACTGGCTTAAATAAATGAGATCAACATGGTCGATCTGTTGGGGAAAAAAGTGAAGTCATCATATATGCCAGCAAGAAACTCTCATGAGCCCCATTAAGATTTGCCTGATACGATGTGTAAGTAAAAAAACATGCATTTCATGTCCAAACTATTAGCAATCGCCAACACTTTACTTCCAAAGCCTCTACCTTATTTAACACATAGTGACCAGAGGGACAAGTTGTCAGGTAATAGTCAGATAACCAGTTCAAGGCACAGGCCAACCTAATGTCTTTGCAAGACTTAAACACCTCTAGGTTCACTTATCATATCACCTACCTTATTCTGCAGAAGTCACTTTTGCTGAAATGCGGACTTGTTTGACCCCAGAGATATACGATGATTAAAATAGCTAACCTGGCTTATTGCCCTTTGGGGCTGGCACGCGCCCTCAGACACTTTATTTTGAATAACTATCATGCAAGTAAGTGATATCTTCTGTCCCCACTTATTGTAGGGCTCAGACCGAAAACTGGAACGACACTGCCAACAACTACTGGGACACCAGGACTTGTCGTCCACTGTTCTGCAAGCAGCTCAGTCCTCTCAACTAGGTCGATTTTCCTTTTCTGAAGCCCCGACCTGCAGTTTTGTTCGTGCAAGCTTCCTGTGTCTGACCCAGGTTTTCCATCAAAGATCCTGCTGCGTGGTTATATTAGGCTAGGTCAACTGAACACCATTATTTGGCTTGAGAAAAACGCTTTATCCATCTACCCTGAAATAAAATAACTCTTTATCCATCTACCCTGAAACTTACATGCTTTTCATATCATACAGTAGTTTAAAAATCTCCAGGAACCCACGACCTCATAGAAGAGAAATAGAATTTCCTTGCAATAGCCCACACCTTGAGCCGTATCCTTTCCTATAAAAGCATTAACGTTTTATCTGTTTTTCCAAGTTTCCACAGCCAAGAGACAGGCTTTATTAAAGATACGCGTCCTATCACAGGGCGGAAAGCAAATGCTTACCCTGTAGCTCAGGAGATCCAAGGTTGGAGATGTCTTAATGGAACCCTGTCCAAGGCCCAGAGGTGACTCCGTTCTCCCACATCCATGCTGTACTCCCTGACTGCGATAATCTACAAAGAGATCATCAATTACCATCTTCCCAGGATCAAAAAAACATGTCTAGGTCTTCTGAAGCTGGCGTATCAGGAGTAACTGGCAAGTATACTGAAAGGTCAGCATTGTCGATAAGACGGGGAAAAAAGTGTAGTCATCATTTACACCAGCCAAGGGCCCTCAGGACCACGCCATTAGGCGCCGGTACTTCTAAGGCAACTCATTTCACCTGAGGACAACTTTGGTGTACCTACAGAGGAGCCACGGCACACCAGGTGATAGCTGTAGGGCCGCCACTTACCGTTCACAAAACGTGGGGCAGAAGGCGGAAGCTACTACCACCGAAGCAGAAACGGTCGCACACTGCTCCAAGAGCGCCGCAGACCAAAAGAACGAGGAGCGGCCTGGACCTTCCTTATATAGGCACAGGCTGCTGGTGCGCGTGCGCACTGGGTCTCGGGCCGCCCTTTCCGGCCCTTACCCGCTATGATTCCTGGGAAATGTAGTTTCCGGTCCACCCAGCTCGAGGCGCTCCAATGGTTGCCGGAGCCGAGCCCGGCCCCGCCCTCCTCCCCCGTACACACTGGGCCACACGGTCTCCTCGGCCTCGCCGCCATGTCGCGCTTCACACGCACCAAGCCGCTCACCTCGTGCCCCCACCGCTGGGGGTGGCTGAGGCCTGCGAAGGCCTTGGGCGCTGCTCATCCGCCCCCCGCAGTCCCCTCTCAGCCGAGCCCGCCCGAGCCCGCCGGCCCCGCCGCGCGGGGGAGCTGAAGCGGCGCTAGCTCTTTTGCTCTCCCCGAGGGCGGAGACGCTAGCCGTGCCAGCTCCCGGCCCCTCGCGCCCAAGTCCCCGCCGCCTCCTCCTCCTCCTCCACTTCCTCCTCCTCCGGGCCGCCCGCCCGGCTCCTCCCTCCGCCCAGGGTCAGCGGGGAAGAAAAACCGAAAGTGCGCGGCTGCGGGCGGGGCCGCCGACCTGCCTGGGCCGGAGCGGAGCGCTGGCCGCGGCGACGGGGCAGAGAGCCGCTCCGGATCCGGGTGAGTGGTCCTTTCCCGTCCCGCACCTGCCCGGGGCCCCTGTCGCCCCTCCGGGCGCCCCCTCACCCTTCAGCCCGTCTCCACCCTCAGGCTGTGGTCTCCTTAGCGCCCCGGTCACTCCCTCGGCTTCACCCTCTGAGACCCTCACCCTTCCTTAGCCCCATTACCTCCTTCCAAGCCCCTCCACCTCGTCCACAGCGCCCCTTCTCCCCCTAACCCCACCGCCACCCTCAGAGCCTCTGTCCCTTTGTCCTCAGCGCCCCTTGGCACCCCTCGGCACTCCTCGGCACCCCTCAGCCCCAACATCACCCTGAGTTCCTGCTTCCTGTCCTCAGCGCCCCTATCGCCTACTCAGCCCGCAGCGCCCCATCATCCTCTTCAGCACCCCTGTCGCCCCTCTGTCCCTGTCACCCCTCAGCACCTCTGTTACCTCTTGTAACCCCAGCCCCTCAGCTTCTCGGTGGCTCGTGCAGTACCTCTATCTCCTCCTCGGTGCCAGTACCTCCTTCGCACATCTTGTCCCCCGTCCTACCAGTGCCTGTCACTCCCCTCCGCCTCTGGCCCCGGGTCGCTTCCCAGCCTGCCTCCGCCACCCACCACACTGCCCTCCTGCCTCGTTCAACCCCCATCCTCGGCCTTTCATCCCTGTCTGTCCAGCAGGCGCTTCCTCCTGGACTCTGCCTCACCCTGTTCTAGGAGCCCCCGGCTGTCCAGCTCTGACTGCCTCGGCCTCCCTCACAAAACTGCCACCCCACCCTGGCTGACCCTGCACCCCGTAGTGTCTCCTGTGTGCTTGTGACCCCACTGTTGATTTCCCCCAGCAATCTAGCTGCTATATTCAGGGTCAGCCACTTTCATCTCTCTCTGGCAATTGCTGTTTTCTTCTTAATTCTCGGCTCTAAACCTACTTAACCATCATTGATTTTCTTCATTTACCATTTCAGTCTTGTTTTCCCAAGAAACCCACTTTTGTCTCTTTTTTCCTCACCATTTCCTATTCTTACACACTCTTCCTTTCCTTTTTTTCCATTTCTGGGTTTATATTTTATTACTTTTCAAACGGAAAAATTATTTCCTCTCAGGAAATTTAAAAAGACAAAGTGAAACAACTGTAAATGTTGGACCTAGATCCTGAAAACAGGGTTTGATAAATTGAGAGAAGAGACTCAACAAAAGTATCCCCGGAGGGGGCAAAAAGGAACTGCTTTTTCCAATGAAGATAAAAGCTCCCTCCCATACAGTGTCAAATCTATTCACAGTTTCTAACTATGAATATTTTAAAGCAGCCTCAAAAATCCCTTTCTCTGAGTCACCTGCTTCTTCCTTAGCCACAGTCCATGTGATGTGTATGAGTTAAATTGAAAAGTTCCATTAAAAGGGGGTGATAAATATACAGTTTTGGATTAACAGAAATGTATTCTTTTTGCTCTGGGAACAATATTTGTCTATGTAACAACAAGGAAATGTAACCTAACAACTGAATAAGTAACTTGGCTGAGGCATAAGCCAATGAGATGCCATTTGGGATGTGAATTAGCAACTTTCTCTATACCTGAAGAGAGTGCTAGAGTAAAGGAACAAAGAGAATTTGATCCTTTCAAATCAAGTAAATTGTAAATTTAATGTTTTGTATCATAATTGAGTGTTAACAGAGTTAAGAACTTGTGCTCATGATTAAAATCTACATTTAACTCAGGATTAATAAATCCTTAAAGTATGTAGGCAGAAGGACTGGTTTGATGGCTTTTGAGTTTTTCTGCTAGGTGTTGTGTTTCAAGGGCACTGATAATTCTTAAATCTGTGTAGTTCAGATAACAAAAGTAACCTGAATATAGAAGAGTTCGAGTGAGTTAGACATGGAGGACAGAAGACCTCATCTGGAGGCCAGAACGAGGAATCCTCATTCTAACTACAGGGGTAAGTAAGGTTTCCCACCTACTCTGTGTGTGTGTGTGTGTGTGCGCGCGCGCGCGCGCGCGCGCGCGCGCACCCTCCCTCTCCCCCTAAATACCTTTCAGGTAAAGAATGCCTTACTCATGAAGTGTGGTGTCACCCATCTCTAATTTCAGCTCCTCAGGAGTTTGAGGCAGGAAGATTGCAAGTTCAAAGCCAGCCTGGGCAACATAGTAAAGACCCTATTGGAAAAAATTAAGCAGGGCATAGTGGTACAGGCCTATAATCCCAGTACTTGGGACGTGGAGACAAAATATCTGTAAGTTCAAGTCCATCTCATATGTAGCAAGACTCTGTCTCAAACCAAACAAAAATTAAAAATTAAGAAAAGGCTGAAAATGTAGCTCAGCAGGAGAGCACCCCTGGGCTCAAACCCCTAGCATGGGTGGGAGGATTCCTTATCTATGACTTGAAAGACAAAAACAGCCAGCCCTCTCCTTTGTGTGAGAGAAGTGATGAATGCATGTAGTTCACTTGAACAAAACAAGTGATGCAGTATCAGAAATAGAAAAAACTCTTGTTTCGGAACAGTGCTGACAGGCCAGGGGATAGCTCAGTGGCATAAGCGCCTCCTTGGAACAGTGCTAACTAGTAAGAACATAATATAAGCCAAAATACAATTTCTAAATTTTTAGTAGCATTTTTAAAAGTAAAATGAGACAAAATTTAAATTTAGTATTAATAAAACTTAATGATAACATCCAAAATACTATCATCATATTGTAATTGAATATAATTTATATCATAATACATTAATAATTTTAATATTTTTCTTACTCAAATTTTTAAATATTAGCCACAAGTGGGAAGTGGCTATATAATGAATATAAAGTAAGTGTAGAGTACTGGTTATCAAATCAAGGTTAGTTCTAAGAGCATTACTCTACTAAAGTAAGTATTCTATTTACTCAGAACTGTTATTATAAAACAACTCTATTTTTATTTTTTGTGGAACGGGGAATTGAACTCAGGCCCTTGGGCTTGCCAGGCAAGCGCTTATTCTACTGAGCTATCTCTCTGGCCCCTAAAACAACTCTTGGGTTCCTGTATTTCACTGATTTTATTTAATTATGAAATTCCTACTGGTTCATAAGAAGTCAATTTCTTATGAACCAGTAAGAATTTCACCACAGATTAATAAGCGAATAGCCATAGTTAATACACTGTATCATTACTGTCTTAAGTTTGCAACATGTCTTAATTGTGGAACAGGAGAGGAAGAACCGTGAGGCTCTTATCTTATAGGATGTGTGAATGTTTAAAGAATGAGAAATAATAGTTTTCCATTCCTTCAAGATAAAGTCTTTAATCAGATCAAAATATTAAAATAGGAATTTCTTCTAATTTTAGGAGTTTGAAAAGTATATATTGAAATGACAATTATAAAAGCATTGCAGTCTAGTTGCTCATTATTTATGTTTTTATGTAAATTACATTGATATGCTCTTTTATTCAAAAGCTGTAATATAACTGAAAATAAAACACTAAATAATAAAATTGTTTATGTCTTGCCAAATACGTTGTCAAGTTTCTCCACAAAGTACAAAAACAATTGCACTATAAATGGATTTAGTATTTGATGTCATGTTATCTGAAGTGTTTATAACTTTTTTTTTTCTTTTCAAAGTTTTATTGATAAACATATAGCAATGAGACAGTTTCAAATCAAATCAAAAGTACAGTTTCAACAAATAATACACTGCATATATTCTTCTTAGTTATAACTTTCATAACAGTAAATTATCAAATCATTGTATGCAGTCTTAAAATCTTATTATTCTGCTAAATTGAATCAGCTTAAGAACCAGTTTTAAAGGATGACAAAGTGAAAAAACCTGGACTTTGGGTGTGTTGGGCAAAGTCACTTATGAAATGTGTGGGAGAACAAAGAGGAGGAACTTGGATTCACCCAACTGATGTTAGCATTCCTGCATGTACTGTGTTCTCACCATCCCTTCCCCCCAACTTCCTGTATAAGTGCTGTTAGTCAAAACTGCCAGGTAGGTGAACTCATGATACAAAAAGAAGAAAATTTGAGGGGCTGGGGAGATGGCTCAGTAGAATAAGCACTTGCCTGGCAAGCACAAGGGCCTGAGTTCAATCCCCTGTTCCGCAAAAAAAAAAAAAAAAAAGAAGAAGAAGAAAATTTGAGTATTTTATTTCAGTTTCCTGAGTCAAGGCTTCAGTTCATTGTTTCCGTTTTCTGAAATGAAACTTGATATCCGTGTTACAGTTTCCTTCACCATCTGTCAATTAGCTAAAGAAACTATCTTGGTGGAGAAAGTTATGTCTTCTTTTAGACTACATTAGCTGCTGTTGGACAAACTTCAAGTAGTGTTTTTCCTCATAGTTTTATTCTACTTGAGGTTTCTGTTACCTGTTATAATTGTTTAGTAGAATCAGCAC